TTGTTTGTGGATCTGCATCACCCTCTGCAGCCTTGTGATCGTCAGACCTGCTGCAGCCGGTTTCAGCACTCACACCCTTCCTTGTACAGGCATGGGAAATGTCCGGAGAGGAGGGGGGGATTGGCTCTGTAGATGGCTGGGCTGGCCCAGGGGACAGCCGGACGCCTTGTGTCTCTATTGTTTCAGCCTTTCAAGGCAGCTTCTGACTCACAGAAGAAATATTTGCTCTAAGAGGCAGGTTTTGTGCTTGGCATTCAGGAGACGAAGGGGAAAGTGCCTCCGCCAGACTGTCACTGCCGTGCGGCACACGGCATGGCCGAGCATCGTCCCTCCCTGTAACGCTGGGCTGGGGGCAGGGGCAGGCTTATATCCGCTTACATCGTCTGCCCCGTGCTGGCTGAGATGCCGAGGGCATCGTCCCCCTTGGGGACAGGGGGTGCTGCTCGGAGCCCAGATGCCCCCCAGACCCTGATGGGGCGAGCGGCCGTTCCTATCGAGTATCACCCCTGCAGCCGGAGTGACCCGGTACAGAAAGAGCTGAGCCAGCAGAAAGGTGTGCCGGTGGGTGAGCTGGCGGAAACCCGGCCGTTGGCTTCCCGATCCACAGCAAGATAACGGGGATAATGCGGAAACGCTGGAGGCCGTGCTGTCCCCTGGGAACCTAGAGCAGCCCGGGTGTTTTTTGTGGGCACCGGAGTCACATCAGTCTTGGCTCAGGACCAGTTTCCTCCCCACAAACGCCCTCCCTGTTCCTCTTCCCTACCCTTCCATTTTCTTCAGTGCTGTTGGTTCACGCGCCCAGAAATTGGGGAAGGAAAGGGGGCCTGATGTTATCCTAAGGAAGCATTAGTGAGCTTTTGCCTTGCTGATAACCTGGCACGCCAGGAATCCCTCTGCAAACCTGCTCCTTATGCTTTGGCGAGGAAATAACCACCCCGGCACGGGGAAAGGGCCCTTCACCTGCATCAAGGGAAGGTTTGGCCACCAGGTCCAGCGGCTCTGAGCCATCCCAGAGCTCCTCTCCTGCTTCATGTGAACGCACCGGGCAGAGCAGCTCTTGCCCTTCTTTCTTCCTTTGCCCCATGGACTTGGTGTGGTTTTGAACCCAGGTTTTTCTGTATTTTTTAACAGGAGGCTACTTTGTGCACAGCAGCAGTACTGGATGGGAGGGACAGGTTCGATCCCTTGGACTCGAGCAGCGGAGGGGACGAGTTTTACCAAGTCCAAGACAGAAATCTCTATTGCAAGAAGTGCCCTGCAGGTAAGACGGTCTCAAACGTCACAGCACGTGCAGCCCCGTCGTGGTTCTGCCTGCAGAGCCGGCGCATCCTCGCTCCTTGCGAGGAGGCAGTGGGTGCTCTTGGGTCACCCTTGCTCTGCTGTCCTGAGATCTAAGGACTCATTATGGGAATGTTTTCCTTTTGATCGTTCCTAATTTGACTCTTAACTGCACTGACAGCAGAATTAACTCCCTCTCTGCAAAGATGTCTCCGTCCTGTGCTGTATGTTCACAGATACACCTTTTCTTTCTCCTTCACCCCTTCTTGCAGGCACCTACGTTGCAGAGCACTGTAAAGAACAATATGGCTCCAGCAAGTGTTTGCCGTGTAAAGAAGACGAATACATCAAATACCCAAATGACTTTTCCAAGTGCCTTGGCTGCCAGATGTGTAGG